TATGCTTATTTCTGTCAATGAGATGGGTCTCCTGTAAGCAACAAATTGTTGGATCTTCCTTTTTAATCCAGTTTGTCAAATGGTGCCTTTTGATGGGGAATTAAGTCCATTAACATTAAGTGTTAGTACTGATAGGTATGTGGTGATTCCTGTCATTTAGTTGTCTTAGTTGTTTGAAGGTTTGATTGTGTGTACCTAATTGATTACTCTCTCTTTTTGCTTTTTCTTTTCCTGTTTTGCTGCCTGCCTTTCATGGTTATGTTGGGTTTCACTTTCTGTGTGCAGAATCCCTTGAAGAATCTTTTGTAGTGGTGGCTTTGTGGTCACATATTGTTTTAGTTTCTGCTTATCATGGAAGACTTTTATTGCTCCATCTATTTTGAATGATAGTTTTGCTGGGTAGAGTATCCTGGGTTGAAGTTATTTTCATTCAGTGCCAGGAAGATCTCACCCCAAGTTCTTGCTTTTTATGTTTCTGTTGAGAAGTCTGCTGTGATTTTGATGGGTTTGCCTTTGTATGTTACTTGTTTTTCTCTCTTACAGCCTTCAGTATTCTTTCTCTATTCTCTGTACTTGTTTTAATGATAATATGTCGTTGGATAGTTCTATTTTGGTCAGGTCTGTTTGGAGTCCTGAAGGTTTCCTGTACCTGTATGGGCATAGTTTTCTCTAGATTTGGGAAATTTTCTGTAATTATTTAGTTGAATATGGCATGCATTCCTTTTTCTTGCACCTCTTCTCCTTCTTCAATGCCCATGATTCTCAGGTTTGGTCTTTTGATGGTGTCAGTAAATTCTTGCATTTTCTTTTCACAAGTCTTCAGTTGTTGAACTGATAGTTCTTTAGTTTTTCTTTTAATTACCATTTCATCTTCAAGTTCTGAGATTCTGTGTTCTGCTTGTTCTAATCTGCTGGATTGGCCTTCCATTTTGTTTTGCATTTCTGTTTCACTCTTTTTTTCTGAGGTTTTCCATGTACTGAGTCCCTTCTTCTTAAATATTGTCTGTTTTCATCCTGAGTTCATTTATCTCTTTATTATCATTTTCTTTGTTTCACTTTGGTGTTTATACAGTGCTTCTATGGTTTCTTTTATTTCTTCTTGTGCTTTCTCAAATTCTCTGTTTTTGTTGTCTTGGAATTTCTTGAGTGTCTCCTGTACATTTTGGTTGACCATATCCAGTATCATCTCTATAAAATTCTCATTGATTACTTGCAGGATTTCTTCTTTCAGGGTGTTCTTGTGGGCTTCAGTGGGTTTTTTGGCATAGTTTATCTTCATTTTGTTGGAGTGTGGATCTGGGTATCTGATTTCTTCATTTCCCTGTGGTTCCTGTACTAATTTATTATTGGGGGGAAAATGATTTCCCTCCTTTTTCCGTCGTCCCATCATTGCTCTTGCTATTGTTACTGTTCCTATACTGTGTATGATTCAGTATTGTCTAGCCTGTAACAATAACAATGGTGATATCTGGTGGTCTGCATCTTCTCAAGCAGTCTGGGAGCTGGCGTCTCAAAGAGTAAAAGTTTAATATAAAGAATCACTAACTAAATTTCTGAGGATTAGCTATTAAAAGGAGAAAAAAGAAGGAAAAGAAAAATAGCACTGTAAGGAATATCCTAGAGTTGAGGGAGGTTAGCAAGGAGGGAACAAATTTCTGTGGGGCATCTTTCCTCCAAGTTGGGATTCAGGTATTACTAGCAAAGGATTTTGTTTCTAGTGACCCATTTCCCAATCCTGAAGATGACCACTGTTGTTAGATTCTTGTGTATTCTTCAAGACACTTCATGCATATTCTGGCAATGTTAATCACACACAGAAAGAAATCTTCTCTGCGGAACTGTGGTCTGCACAGTCATTCTACCCCTTATCTCTGTAGAACACTGCACTGCCTTTTCTGTACCTCTTCTCCTGCTCCCCTTTAAAAAAGCTTTGTGTAACTTTATATGTAAAAATTTTGCATTCTTTTTTCCCCCAAGTTTGTGGTATACAGCTGTATGATGTACCACAGTTTATTTAACTAGTTTAGTTTTTCTCAATCATTTGTTTTTACAAATAGTGCTAGGGTGAGTAAGATTTCTGGGGTGTTTTCCAACACCAATAACCTGTTCTCTTATTCTCTAGACACCAACTGTGTGCTGAACAATTCATTTTAATTCACTTCTGACAGTAACTACCTGGAGTTAGCACAAACTCTGTAGGTCTCAACCCTCTCCTTCTACTTCAGACAGTCTCAAATCTTGAGCCACTTACAGTGCTGACCAGCCTGTTATAAATTGGGGTGCCTGTGACCCACTCCTAAAGTTAACTTTTTCCCGGCCCTGGATTCTGGGGTTTGATCTCAGGACTTTGCACTTGGCAGGCAGGTACTCTACCACTTGAGCCACACTTCTAGACGCTCCTAAAGTTAACTTGCTAAACTGGCTTGCAGAACTTAGGAAAACAGTTCATTTACCAATGCCAGTTTATTATCAAGTATACAACTCAAGAACAGCTAAATGGAAGAGATGCAAAGGGCAAGGTGTGTGGGAAGGGGCACAAAGCCTCTTCCATGTACCTCAGTGTGTTCACCACCCCAGAAGGTCATCCAATTTCAATGTTAAAGAGTTTTTAAAGAGCTTAATGTCCAGTCTCCCCCAAGCCACATCACTGATCTGTGATCTGATAGGAGGGCTGGAATTTACTTGGTTTTTTTGATGAACAGCCCCATCCTGAGGCTATCTGGGGACATCATGCCCAGCCACTTGCTCAGTCACCTCATTAGCTGTGTGTGATTGGAATAGACTCTTGAATAGATGGGAAGACACTCCCTCACTCAGGATATTCCAAGGGTTTTCGGGGCTTTGTGCCAAGAACTAGGGTCACTGGCCAGTATATTTCTTATTATCTCATAATCTTATAGTATGGAAGTAATTTCACTTCGGTGCAAATATGCATTAGATAAATTTCTAGGAGTGGAACTCCTGAATCAAATGCCATATGTATTTGTAATTTTGATTGTTTTTACCAGTTTTCCTAGCACAGAAATTAGTACCAATTTATTCATGTCGCAAGTGAATATAGTGATTAGTGTTTACTCATACATTTAGTATGTTGCAAATTTATATTAAGTGTTCTAAGCAATAAGTTTTTCTTTTCTTTTTTTTTTAATTTTGTTTTATTTCTTCCACTAGTTAGGATCAAACCCAGGACCTTGAACATGCTAGGCAAGCACTCCACCACTGAGCTATACCCTCAACCCAACAGCAAGGTTTTTATGGCATTCTTCAAAACATATACTTGAAAGAAAAAGAGTAGAGCATATTTTTAAAAAAAATTTATCACAGAGAACATATTTTGTGTATGTGTGGGTGTGTGTGAGTGATATGGTGTTTGAATTCAGGGCCTCATGCTCGCTAGGCACTCTATTGCTTGAGCCACTCTACCAGCCCCATATGTGGACTTGTAGAGTAATTATGAAAGACATAGTGTGTACTTTTAAGAGTTTAGTTATAATAGCTAACTTGTTGCCATTTATTGTACATCTCCTCTGTACCAAGCATTGTATTAATTATATTAATTACATGCATCATAATCACTAATCTTAAAATAATCCCACAAAACAGAATTTATCTTCATTTCACAGATAGGAATTGTGAGCCAATAAATTTTGGTGGCTTAAGATTTGATTTTATTTTGAATCTTAAGTCTCCCCCAACTGTCTACAATTGTACTTTTGTTTATTATTGTTTTGATGGTACTAGGGTTTGAACTCAGGGCTTCCCACTTGCTAGATATGCACTCTTACTGCTTGAGCCATGCCTCTAACCCTTTTGTCTGGTTGTTTTGGAGATAGAGTCTTGCTTTTACTCTGGCCAGCCTGGACCTCTGTCCTCCTATTTTAAGCTTCCTGACTTAGCTAGATGATAGGCACATACCAACACACTCAGGTTTTCTTCCATTGAAGTGGGGTCTTAGAAACTTTTCTGTCTGGGCTGGCCTGGAACTGCAGTTCTCCTCATCATCCTCCTGCAGAGCTGTGATGATAGATGCATGCCAGCACACCCTACTATTGGTTGAGATGGGGTCTTGTGAACTTTTTTTCTGTCCTTGAACTGAGATCCTCTAGATTTCAGCCTCCATAGCAGCTAATATTACAGGTGTGAGCCACTAGTGTCGTCCTCGTAATTCTACTCTTACAGCAGGATTTTTATAAGAAAATCTTTGTCAGTGTATTTACCAAATAGACAAAGTCCTGATTATGGTACCTTTCAGATTTACACTGGACATCAAGTTTGATTCTAAATCCCAGGTTCTTGTCTTATAAAGATTAGTGTCTTAATGTTATTTAGTTCACTTCAATATTTTGGTCTTTCTCCCTTATAGAGGACAATTAGAATGTCTGCAATTTCAGCCAAAATTCTGGTCTTTTGGGGTTCCAAGGTTGAATTTAAAAAGCTCTACATATAATCTGCAAGAACTAGAAACCTCAAGGAAAAATAAAGGCGCTGAGAGTTTGTGTATGCTTTGTATGTGTGACTATGTAAAAGAAAGAGCATGCACACATGCCTTTCTGAGAAGAGATGTTACCAACCTAAAATAGATGCCACTTCCTATGTGTTATCTCATTTGAGTAGTGGGAAGTAGGGGAAAATTGTAACCCCCCTGAATTACTTGAGATAGAAACAGGTAGTGGCGAATAACAGTAATCGAATCAGAAAACTTGTTTCCCCCGTATTTTAGTTGTGTGAATCTTGTTTTTCTGTGAGGATTGAGGTTGTGTTTATTTAAAAATCTATCCTAGATAGTTATTGCTTAACTCTATATAATTCAGAGTCTAGCAGAGCTACTATGTTGACTTTTAGAGTTTTCATAAGACAATTTTGGTCAGTATATTTCCCAAATAGACAAATTATGCCACATAGTCCATATTTTGCAGACTTTTTTTTAAATAAAAAAATTAATTTAAATTTGGATCCTTTTAATTTCAGTTTTTTCCCTCTCTTCCCATCCCATTTTGCAGACATTTCAACCTACGAATGAAGAGGGACACTTCCCTTTTTAGTGATGAATTTAAAGTAGAAACATCAAATAAAGTACTTGATTATGATACCTCTCATATTTACACTGGACATATTTATGGTAAGTTGAAACTTCATAGAACCCTTTTCTTTATTTTTTTTCTACACAAGGAAATGTAGGTTAAACAAATATTTCAGAAAAGGTGGTATAAATCCGGAAGAGAGAAAAGACAAGACTTCAGACTCTTGTGAAGGCAGAGAAAAAGACAAAAGCCCTTTCCATTTTGCTCTCCCGAGTGTCAAGAGTCCTAGAAGATTCTCAGATCCTCAAGAATCAAGCCTGCTGATTTGTCAACCAGGGTCCTTGTCTGTGGAGGTCCAAGAAGGTCAGAAAGCAGTCCACTGCCTGTACTTAAGTTCAGATTTGGATGATTCCTGGGTTAAATGTTAGGTGAGAGACATGTGCCTGCAGAGCAGGGAAAAAGATACCCGGGTCTGACACCTACCCACATTGAGATGACCACTGGTGGTTGTTACCTGGGAGACTTCATCTGCAGTACAAGACAATCCTGGCGGACTGTGCACATACTCCCCTACTAACTTTCAGGGACTGGGCCACCTCCCATGTGCTAGAAACAGTCTCCCTAGAAATAAGCTCTTCATGAGGATCATCTAGCTGTCTTGCCCCTCTTTGAGCCTACACTTGCATACCTGAGGCATTGCGTAAACTGTGTGTGTCCTTTATTCTGTTAAAGGGGAATGAATGGTCCTTGAAATCATTTGGACCTATCTTTACATGCGTGTTTAATAGTCAGCGAGACAACATCTGGCTTCAGAAAAGCGTAACATTTTGACATTTTCAAGACTTCAAACTCTAAAGAGTTTTCAAATGTTTTTAATGACTTGTGTAACTTTCTGATCTTCCAAAGAAGAAATTAGCAGTAACTTTGCTGTGTTTTGTAAGAAATTAGGAAAAATCTTAAAGGAAACTGTAAAGGTCATCTTAGCCAAAAGTAATGTGACAAAGTCATTCATAGGAAACTCTTCCAAGGCCTATTCGCAGAATCTATTTGCTTTTCTTTGACAGTTTAACAAATTTCTTTCTTTTTAAAAAAATGTAATATACAAACATTATTTATTTATTTTTCATTATTGTGCTGGGTGGGGGTACATTGGAGTATTTGCAAAAGTTCTTATAATGTATCAAATATATCATATTTGAATTCACCCCCTCCTCTGCTCTCTTTCATCCCCCCTTCCCCCGATTCCCAGAACACTCTGAACAGGTATTTTTGCATTTACTTACATGTGTATACCTTATTTGGACCACCTCCCCCCACCTCCCCCTTATAGGCAGAACCTGTTCTCCAATTTTATAGAAGAAAAAACATAAAAGATAATAAGAAAAACCTGGCATGTTTGCTAGTTTGAGATAAGGATAGCTACATAGGGAGATTCCTTGTGTTGTTCCATGCATATATATTATAACCCAAATTGGTTCATCTCTACCAGACCTCTTCACTACTCCCTAGTCCCCTTCCCATAGTGGCCAGTTAAGAGTCTGTATTCATTTCTATACAGTGAGCACATTAACCACATTCAAGTTTTTGCCCTGTCCTTCCAGTGCATAGTCTCCCCTTAGTATGACCCCTGTTCAATAGTATTACTGCATTTGTTTAAGGTCTCTAATCCACATACCAGGGGAAACATGGGATTTTAACAAATTTCTTTTACTATACTACTTTTAAAAGGTTTTGGGAGGCTGGATGGCACATTTTACCCAATAGAAAGTTACATCTGACAATAGTGTAGGAGGAAGAGAACAGTTATGGAAGTCATAAAAAAAAACAAATAATTCAAAGTCATGTGGGGTATTGGAGAAAGACAGATGTCCTTGTGTTGCAGCTCCACATTAATAAATATTCAAGATTATCTCCCCTTAACACAAACTGTTGGAAACTTTATTTCTGCATATTACAGGGTCTTCCACTCAAAGTCATAACATTATGAAAAATTAGTTGTTTAAAGAAAATAAGTATAGTTTTTATTATTCCAGATAAATGAGGCATTTTTATACTTAAACTTTCCAACTATTAAATTAGAGGGTTTTAAATTTTTTCTTACAGTTCTGTAACCAAAGGAAGTGTTTTTTAAAATCTAGTTTTTAATGCCAGATTATAGTGTCCTATTATTTTCTTGATCATTTATCTTGTTAGGCAAATAACTTAGTAGTCTCTTTCCATTTTTGCTAGGTCGTGGTTAAGAAATGTACAAGACTATAAATGAATTGCTATTATAAAAATGATTTCATTTAAAATATATGCCTTGGGCTTTTATTTTCAGTCCATGATTAACTCAAAGTCAGCTAATTAACAATCTGTAACTTAGAAATTATGGAAAGACTAGAGCTGGTTGTATAGCTCAGTGGTAGAACATGTACTTGTTAGTATGCATAATGCTAAGAGTTCAATCCCCAGTACCAAAATAGACAAAAAGAAAGTATGGGGCTGAAGGCATGGCTCAAGCAGTAGAGCATCTGCCTAGCAATCATGAAGCCCTGAGTTCAAACCCTAGTACTGGGGGAAGAAAGCAAAGCTTGTTTTGTTTTGTTTGTTTGTTTGTTTTTCTTGGTGTTGGGATTGAACTCAAAATCCTGTTTTTAAGGAAAGAATTTTAACTTCTGTTTTTTGATGGTAGTGGGGGGTTGAACTCAGAGCCTAATTGTTGCTAGGCATGTGCTCTATCATTTGAGTCACTTGATCAACCCTAA